ATGTTTCAATTTATAAGGTGAATTGTTAGTTTTGAGTGCCCTCCTGTGCTCATGAGATGAATTACAGACTAATGGAGACAAAAAGGCATTTTGGTCACATTCTGACGCAGTTGCTGGTATATTTTCTCTGTGTCCTTGTAATTTTTCTATCAGTGATGATCGGTTGACCTAACTAGACTGCATGCTCCCATCTGCTGGTTCTGTAACTTCAGTGCCACCTGAAAACAAAGCCCAGACACTGTCAGCATATTAATTAATCTCTGTCCTGAGAGATCTTTCTCTCCCATTGCTGCGCAAAGCTTTCTGGCCTGTGAAGAGATTATATTTATTACCTTACTTCATTAGCATAAGATCATAAAATTTCATAATTTTCTTCTCCCAATTAGTCCAAACGATCACATTATGAATGCATTTTAGAAAATATCAGAGCAATCTTTCTGATGGGACTAAATTTTTGGCATGATTCCCAATATGGGCTCAAATTCATTTTAAGAAGTCTCTTAATGATTTTTCACAATATTTTTTTTCAGATGAGACAAACAAATCTTCTAATGCCCTGAAATTATTTGCTTAATCTATTTATGATTACAAAGTGGGATTTTTGTCAGCATGTCTGAAAAATACCGAAATGATCATTTTAGTTGTTGTATGGTTTTCTCTGGCTGGCAATTTTAAATTATTTTAAGAATTCTCTAATAACAAAGTGTCCAACAATAGACTGTCTTTTATAATTGAAGTTTCCTTCATCCCAAGCTAAATATATTTATCAGGTACAAAATAAGAGAAATAAAGACCACCATGAGCTTATAGATATCCTTTGTTTATTTCTAAAAATGAATTTTTATGCCAAATATATTCAAGACCATGTTCTAGGCAATATAGAAATAAAGAACTATGGTTGTTATGTTTATAATGTACTAGAGGAGTTAAGACCCACTCAGAATAAAATCATGTAAGAGAGTGTGCAAATAGTGCAATATTGTAAAACAAAATAGGCAATTGAAAATGACACAGATCATTTCAGTAGAGATCAGAGCGGAGGAGGTAGCATTTCACCAAGACCATTCCTGAATGGGAAGATAGGACCTGAACAGATAGAGAGATAAGAGGGAAGAAAAGAGTATTTTAGATATCGGAAATGGCATAAGCAAAAGCTCCACCATGGGAAAGTGTAACTTTTTATCTTACATTGAAATAAAATAAAATACAAATTTTTGTGGACTGTGTTTTACGTATTAAAGTCCTGGAGGCTAACAGTTATATTAATAACGACTTTTCTTCTCTCTGAAGTTTGTAGTTCAGAACCAGAAAATGTTCAGGCTGACCCAGAGAATTATACCAGCCTCCTTGTTACCTGGGAAAGACCTCGAGTAGTTTATGATACCATGATTGAGAAGTTTGCAGTTCTGTACCAGCAGTTGGAGGGAGAAGACCAAACCAAGCATGAATTTTTGACAGATGGCTATCAAGATTTGGTAACTATAAGATTAATCATTTTATGTTTGATAACATTGTAGTTTAACTTCCAAGGTAAGAACTTACTAATGATTGTATGTTGTTGCCCTTGGTTACTTTAGACTTTGTACTAAAGTCTCCAGTGGGCTGGGATGGGGTGGGGCAAGCAAAAGCTATACTAAATTATGTCAAAAGTTACATTGAATGACAAGGAGATGTGATTTTGCCAACAATAACGTTATAGAATTGATACATTTGAAAGGCTTATGAAGTGGAGATCATTTAGTGTGGTCTCTCTTTACAAATAAAGGGACCTAGAGAATAGTTAAATAAATACCTTGAATAAGATCTCACAGTTGTGTGAAGAATTGGGCCTAGGATCTCAGTGCCCTGGTACACTATGTATTGTTTTCCCCATCACACTATACCTGCACAGGAGAATAGAGTAGGGGACTTGCAACTTTTGTTTTTTTTTGTGTGTGTGTGTGTTTTGCATCAGGTTTCCAGGTAACAGATGTGAATCATGAGAACTTTGGGGATATAAGACAGATAAAAAGTTCCACCTTTGCCTCCCTCCTCCAGTGCACACAAATTAAAGAAAATAAAGTACAGATACCTTCTGGCTTGAGCATCTCAATATTAAACTTTGCTTTGGTGGGCAAGTGTTGGCTATAGACTGAGGTGTTGTTGACAAACCCTCATCTGGGTGTGGGTCCAGGAAGACCTCCCTGCAGATTAAAGGACACTGGACTTTTCATGCAGGCACCTAGAGTCCCATAAGTCCTGAGAAACTGCATTTAAATAAAAATTGTCATT